GCATTGTATTCCCTTATCCTAGCTTGGAACCAACCATATGTACTTTTCAAAACCCGAGTTCATACTGATAACCTCTAGTTTGAATCCAATACCACAGGCCTCTTGTACCTTTTTACATTCTATAGTCTATCTTTGTACTCTTTACAGTGGAGTCCTGGTGTGGTGCTATAGGATAAGCAATGGACTGCTAACCACTGTGTCAGATCCACCAGCTGCTCCTCAGAAACCCCATGTAGGGTTACTAGGAGTTGGAACTGACTCGACCACTCTTAATAACAACAACTCTTGACAGTAAGAACCCACTTCCCAACAACATCAAGCTGTTTGCCCACTTGCTCTCTCCCACAGTCCGAGGGGGCTTCAAAAACTTTTTGATGTCCCCTTGTACATACAGCAAAGTTTAAGAATGACCCCACCCACTGTAAAGTTACTAAAATTCAAGATTTCTTTCCAGTTTTTTTTGTCCTTGAGATATGACCTTCTAAAACAACAAAGTGCTTCAACAGGAAGTTACTTCTTAGGCTAATTCTTTTTTTTTTTTTCCGTGTGGGTGAGTTATAAATTTTTGTGCCAGTATCTTATTTTGATTTTGTTTGTTTCAATTTTAAGGTTTCTGGCCTAAGCTTTTTTAAAGTGTAGAGCATTATATATACAAAAGTATGTAAAAGCTCTATCCAAAGAAATCTCCCTAATCATCCTGACACTTCCATCTTGTTCTCATCCATCATCTGTAGATATCATGTCATTAGTTTCTGGTTTATTCTTCCTTTGTTTCTTTTTTCTTGTACATGTTCTTATTTTCCTTTCTTTCTTACATAAAGGTAGCATACTCTAGATAATCTTTTGTATTTTGCTTTTCTCAGTTAACAATGTATTCTGGAAATCATTCCACAGCAGTTTTATATATATATATATGTGGCATCGATGGCCTCAAGTGTGGCAACAGTAGTTAGATATATATATAAATAAATAGAGAGAGAGATCTCCCTTATTCTTTTTTATATCATGTTGTTGTTGTTGTGAAGTGCTGTCGAGTCAGTTCCAACCCATAGCGACCCTGTATAGGATTTTCAAGGAGCGGCTGGTGAGCTTGAACCACTGACCTCACAGTTCAAATGGGCTTTGCAGTCCAGCACGTTGACTCATAGTATGTGTGATATATCATAGTTTCTTCAAATCATCACATTTAGATTGCTTCCAACATTTTGCTATTGAAAAATAGTGTCATGTTGAATAATGTATAAATTTCTTTTTATTTTGGGCAAATAAAAAGAAGTAGGATTGTCCAGTCAAAAGGAAAATATATTTTTATTCTTTCTCCTCTCTCTTTTTTTTAAATTTAAATACAAAAAGTAACATAATATGCAGACTGTTCTACATCTTACTTTTTTTTTAACTGCTAGTAATTGTTGAAATCTTGCCGTATCAGCACACAGAGGACTTCTTCCTCTCTTTTTTTTTTAATAGCCACAGAGCATTTGAAAAAAAAAAATCGCTTCAGAGTAGTCCATTGTATGACGGCACCGTTTATTTAATCAGTTTCCTATTGATAGACTAGAGACTGTTTTCAATCTTTTGTTACTGCAAACAATGCTATGATTTGTGATTGTTTACTGCCACCATGTACATGTATCATTGCATGTCTGTCTCTATCTGGTCTGCTGCTTTTCTTCTTGTGAAAGATGTTATTAGGTTTTTATATCTATATTTGCTTCCATGTAATGTAGGGGGACAAGAGATTAATAATTGCCCAGACTTCTAATTGGATCCAGAGGAATTTGACTGGGATTCTAGCAGCTCTTTTTAAATAATTCTTTTGCTTAAAGTATATATACCACATAGAAAGGGGCCAGCAGGGTTTAATGGCAGAATTCTTGTCTTCTATGCAGGAGATCAGGTTCAGTTCCCAACCAGGAAACCTCATGCATAGCCACTACCTGTTGTCACTGGAGGTTTGTGTGTTGCCACGATGCTAAAACAGAGTAGGAAAAAAGGTCTGGCAATCTACTTTCAAAAATCAGCTAATGAAAGGTGAAACACAAAAGTCTGATCCCTAACTGATCAAAGGGTTGGCACATGACTGGGACATGTTTTGTTTGGTTGTTTATGGGGTCACTGTCTTAGTCTGGGTTGTCTAGAGAAGCAAAACCAGTGAACCATATATGTATATATATGAAGAGAAGTTTCTATCAAGGAAATTTAGATTGCTAGATTGCTACACTCTCACAATTGTAGAGATGGGAGAGTTCTAAGCCCAGGTCAGATGAACCAAGATTGGCAGGCGCATCTGGCAGGAAGACAGGCCCGGTAGACAGACAAATCTGTCAGGCAGTCAGGCTGCTGATAGCTCCAACGATCAGCAGGTAATAGAGCAGGCCACTGGCTCCAGCAGAAAGCAGACAAACTTTGCCTAAGTGTCTAATATATTGGAAGCAGGCCATATGCCCAAGGAAACATCCTTTCGATTGATTGGCTTCTCAAGCCAATCATCATAGAGTTCATTACATTGTATTCGATCTCATTATGGGGATAACTACATCTGAACTGCCCAATCACTGAGAATCCTGACTCAGTCAAGTTGACACAAAACCTTAACTATCACAGTCACCATGAGTTGGGACTGACTCAATGGCAGCTACAACACACAGAAAAGAACACAATGATAACCACATGCTGGATGAATTTCCACAAAGTCAACATATCTGTGGAGCCAGCACCCAGATTAAGAAACATACTATTACTAGCACCTCAGGGGCTGATGCCGCCTTTTAGTCGTTACCACCTAAGGTTAATACCATATGCTGACTTCTAACACCATCCACGAACTTCACTTGCACCTAATGGTTGCAGTTATTTAGCACTTGGTCATAGACTATTTTCTGTGTTTGATTCTATATTCCACTAAAATTATTATTCCAAGGTGACTGCTAATTTACTTCCTTGATCTTAACTTGCCAATGATTATGTAAAATATATTTTATCATGTTTCAAGAAGTTTAGGTTTCCATTCAACAATTGGTTGTTCCACTTCGCCAATGATTTTGTTTTTTTACGTTTCTGTTGTGAATTGAGTGATAGTTTACGTGGAAGAACATTGGTTTTACACTCATCCTATCATATTTTGTTTCATTGCAATGATTACAATCCCCTCCATGCACAAACATTCAACAGTATTTGCTTTTATTCTCTGTTCGTTTGTTTTTTGAATGTACACAAAAACACTCAGGAATATATAATTATTTAACCAACCAGCCAAATGGCACATTCTGCAAGCCTGCCTCCTGGCTGCCAACACACAGTCTTTCTCTTTCCATGAGTCTACAGTCCTCAGCTGCTCCCTCTCTCCATGTCCTTATCTCTGCCTCCATCTCTGGTGTTGCTGCTTCTCTGAATAGGGTTCCACATTCCACTCATGCTTTTCTCCCTTGATGATCCTAGGGTCTTCTGGTCCTGAACTGTAAGATTAACTACTCCCCCCTTTTTGTTACAAAACTTCTACCTTTACTGCTGTGATAGCTGCAATTAGTCATGATAACAATTATTCACTATTGAGTCATAAGAATCTATCCCCATCTCCTTTCACCAGACCCATATAGACAAAATGAAAACTATTCAGTGGGGGTTCTACCTTCTCCCGCACACTCTGAAACTAAACTCCCTCTTGAAAACTTGTAAACCAGTCACTTCATGCCTTTATTGCCCCCCTCTTCCATTTTAGGTAGTCAATGTCTAAGTTGCCCATCCCGTATCAACCCTGTGTACAGAGGGGATAGGATTGATCCTTGATGTGATGATTCCTTTTGCCAATTATTTTTTTTTTCCTTAAAACTTTTTATTGTGAATTGAGTGAAAGTTTAGAGAGGAGATAATCAATTTTACATTCAAGAGATCAGACATTTCATTTCATCTCAATGATTGCAATCCCCTCCATGTAACAACAGTTATCCTGCTTCCGCCCTGTGGTTCTTGGGTAATGCTGCCCTTTTGAGCTCATTGCCAATGATTTTTAAATGTATGTTTTAGCCTAGTCCTACTGCTGTGTTGCTGTCCTGTGGAATCCAGAGTACTGTAAGATATCCAATAGGCCCATCACATAGCGTTTTGTCTTCCTCTGCACCTTGTTTATTATGCCTCTTCTCAGACCTGTTCCCATCTCAGGAGACAGCCCTATCATTCACCAGGTGATATAAGTTGGCAGGTTGATTGCCTCCCTCTCCTTTACCCTCAAAGTCAGGTCCCTGCCTCCTTGGGATCTTAAGAACCACACCCTGCCCACCTTACCTCGCTAGCCTCATCTGCTGCTTCCCTGTTTGCTTTAGTTACAGTGGCTTCTTTTCCTTAAAAACACTATACTCCTTTGTGTGTCAGGGTCTGTGCAATGCTTTGTCCTCTGCTCAGAAGGCTGCCTTACAGTAACAACTCTTCATTCTTCATGGACAGTTAACTTCCCAGACTCCCTACATTAGATTAGTGGATCTTGGTAAGTGGTGTGTATGTTTTCATAGCAGTCACACTTCCCTTTTGAATTATTAACTGCAGGAGTTACCGACTGTTGTCTGTCTTGCTTGCTGTCTTCCCAGTGTCTGGAAAGTCATAAGCTCCCAACAAATGGTGAATGACTCAAGGCAGGATGGCTGAAGAAAGGGAGCCCAATCTATGACTGAGGCCAGGCTTCAGCTTGTCCTGGAGTCAGGGAACAGAATTTCCTCTTTCAGAGGTCTCTGGTCCCCTCGGCCCTTTTCTGTCACTTGACTTTCCATACATGATCCCTTTCCAAGTTCCTTTCCTACCCTTGGATGGGGTTTTCTGAGGATAGATTTGGAGCATTTGGAAGGATGTGATTGGCGGGATGGTGGCCCTGATGTGATGAGCTCTGTCCACTGGGAGAGCAAGTGAACTTGGCCTGCCCCAGGGAGCATCCTCTCCAGCTGGGGATGAAAAGGGACTGGGATGTTCAGGGCTCTGGTCTGCATCCTTTTCTGTCTCCTCTTTCTTCACAGGTCAAGACAAAGAGGTGTGGGAAGGATACTGGATTGGCTGGTGCCATCATGGCGGGTAAGGAGTGGAGCTGGGTCTGTGGGCAGGGCATGAAAGTAAGCAGCAGGTGGGATGGTCCTCTTCCTTGTTCCCTCAACTTCCTTACCTTGTCTCCAGGTTTTTCCCAGTCCCCCCACTGAGGCCTATCTATTCAAGAGTCCCAGCATGACACTGTCTAGCCCTTTGCCAGATCCCTGGCCCGGGAGACCAGGAATTGAGCATCTTGATGTCCTTGTCTCACTATCCATCTGGTTGATTTGGTTGGTACAAGCAGCTCAGCCCCTGTTCCCATTGACCCTGTTGTTTTCCGTTGCTCTGAGACCTTTATGCTCTGGCTTCTGAGTTTCATTTGGCTTCTAAGGACTCAGAGGTATGGACTGTCAGAGCTGGAGGGGCCTTTTGGGACCACCTAGCCTAATCTCCTTGCTGCTCTATAAACTGACCTATGCAGAAGCTGCAAGTGGAGAGAGGGGCCATGACTGGAGTGGAGTTGAAGTCCAGGTATCCAGACTCTTACTCATCTGACTTCTCTTCCTGGAACTGGTTCCCACTGAGGAGGGTGCTGTCCCTTGATGAAAAGCATTTATTATAAATTTTTAATTTTTCTGAGAGACAGTGACACTGCATCAGGGTCTTGGGGTATTTTGGGATTATCATGGCAGACCCAGCGAAGTAGGAATGTCTAGGTGGGTGTGGTCACAGGGGCCAAGGGGGCAGCCCAGTCCAGGGAAAGGTAATCTTATTGGGTCCATGGATTGTCAGGAAGGAGAAGATTCAAAGTCATGACATGTGATAATGCCTCATCCACAGAGAAAGTGAACAACTTTCCACCGTTGCCCAAATTCATCCCGCTGAAGCCATGTTTCTACCAGGACTTCGAGGCCGACATCCCTCCACAGCATCTCACGATGACGAAGCGCCTGTACTACCTCTGGATGTGTGAGTCTACAGGGATGGGAGTGGGTGGGGTGAGGCCGAGGAGGGAGGAAGGCTGGAGGGTGCTGGGCATTGGGGTGGGCTGCCCGCAGGCCTGGTAGCCCTTCAGCTCCACTTGCAGCCTCTGCATAGGCCAGTGCGTCTTTCCCTGGGTCCACTCCCCAGTTGGGCCTCAGTTTCTCTGAGGCCTCCATCTACGCCTCACCTACCTTCCCTTCCCAGCTCCTCTCCATACAACATCTGGATGGGGATCTCTTTTTGCAGTGGAATTTTTCTCTTCTTGTGCCCCATTCCACTCCCCTTCCCACTGGCCCAGTTTTCCAGGGACCCTCTGGTGACTGCCAGCACCTCAAGATTTCCCCATTTTTCTTGCTTCCTCTAGAAAGATGCTCAAAGAGGAGAGTATGGAAGTGAGAACTGGGAGACATGGTGTCCAGCTTGACTGGTTGCTCCACAGGTCACTTTGCTGTGGGCATAGCAGGTTCTCCATTTGTAGAAAGAGGGTGTTGGCTCAGTGATACTTGGGATCCATGTTGCTCAGTGCCTTCAGAGTCTAGGGTTCGGATGTTCTAAGGTTTTGAAGTTGCAAGTTGAAAGGCTTCAGGTTCTAATGGTTTGGTGCAGGTTGGTGGAAGGTGTTGGAGGAGACGGAACTTGGCTGTGTCCAGTCTGGTGAAAGGAACCTCTTAGGCATAGGCCAGGAGGGCAGGCTGGCTGTCCTGTGCTTGGTACCTGCCCCAGGAAACTGCAGACACCTGTAGCATGATCACAGCCAGGCTCTGCCATGTGTGATGTATTGTCCTGAGTCTGGCCTGCAGATAGCTGCTTACCCAGGGAGTTGGTTGGGTGTATAGAAAGGGGTCAAGAATTCTGCCTTTGTAGCAAGGTCCTTAGTGGAATGGTAGAAAGGGGACAGACAGACTGACTTTCAAGTCCTGGCTTGGACTTTAGGCAGAGAATGAACTTCTCCCTCATGGTAACATGAGAGAAGGTGAAGGAGTAGGGAGGTGTCTGTAGATGTTAGGAAGAGAATGAGGTGATTACCTTTAATGGCTTACGTTTTCTCCATTAAATATGATGTAGAAGTCATTCCTCTGTCTATCAGCTTTTTCTACCTCCATTTCTTGTCCAACTCAGATTCCATGATTTATTACAACTATTTTTCTATTCCTTTCCTTGCCCTGTTTTCTGGTGTGTGGCACTGTAGGATAGCACCAGACTGCTAACACAAAGGTTAACAGTTCAAACCCAGCAGCCACTCTGTGGAAACCCTATACAGGGTCGCTATGAGTCAGAAATGACTCTATGGCACTTAACAACAAGAAGCAGCAGGAGTGGGAGATTTAAGGAGAGTGGGATTCGGGTGAGAGCATGTTTGTAAAAGATGCTCCTTCACAGAGACCTGTTAGGACTTCTGGGATGTACACTGGGCCTCACCTGGGGCCGGGTGGGATTAGCTGCCCTGAGTTCATAGTTCTACCAGGCTTCTCTGTTGGCTCACTTTTTCCTAGTAGCACTCAACTCAGGCATAGATAAGAATTGTGTTCATGCAGGAGTCTTAGTGTGGCGCTGTGGGTTAATGCTCTGGACTGCAAGGTCAGTTTGAACTGAAAGGTGGGTGGTTCAAGCTCACCAGCCGCTCCTCAGAAACCCTATACAAGGTTGCTATGAGTCGGAACCCACTTGACAGCACTTAACAACAGGGTTAGTGTGACCAGAAAACAGGGCAGGGAAAGGGATAGAAAAATGATTGTCATGAACCATGGCATCTGAGCTGAATAAGAAGTGGAGGCAGACAAAGCTGATAGAGGAAGGACTGAGTCATTGAATGACCGCTTTGAAGAGGGAGCTGAGCAAGTAAGCAAGCGAGCTAATAATGTCTTTGATCTATAAACAGCAAATAAAATCAATAACAGCACCAAGGCTCCAGGAAATTTTGGGGCAAGGAACAGGGATAGATGAATCACAGAGGAGGAACTACAACTGGAATACACAAGAAGAAATGTCCAACCTCGTTATGAGGGTCCCTGAAATGGGGGTACCTGCATAGGTGACAGGGTTGTTAGGTTCAGTCAAACTTGGAGAGCAACCATACCTGACGCTGGGTTCTAGGGACTTTATCCCGAGAGCAGAAGTGCTCATCTAGAAGCTGGATTTAAGGAATATGAATATCTCCCCGAGTCCTTACTAGGCACTTGCCAGATGCTGTGCTCCTAATGAAGTGTAGAAAACCCTGGAGATGCTTAAGAAGTTAAGACCATAGACATCCGGCTGTTGGAGGCCAAGATTGAGTCTGCCTTCTTTTGTGTACTTCTTTGTCTTGCAGGTCTTTGTGGAGTCTTAAAAGGACTCAGCCCAATAGCTGAGGAAGGGAGTCCTCCGATGTCAGTGACCTGGGTGTGTTAGGGCCAGGATCAGTTTTCTCATCTGTGAAATGAGGAGGCTTGGATGTCCCTCAGTGATATTTTGATTCCTAGGTTCAGCTAGATTATGTGGGGGCAGAGGAGATGGAGCCCGGATCTAGCTCTTGAGATGCTTCTAGTCTGGTTGATGGGCTGGAATTTGTACTCAGGGAACTGGGAGAGCAGCCCAGGTCTGCAGGGGATCAGAGGGATGGGAGGTCAGTAGTGAAGGAAGGCTTCCTGGAGTAGGTGGCATGATAGTTGTCTAAGAAACAGATTATATGAAGACTGAGATCCCTGCCCCACTTAAGTGTAGGGCAGATAGCACAATGCCTGAAGAGATGTTTCCACAAGGCCTTTTATTTCCTCCCTTTTAGTCCATTATCTTTCAAGAGAAGGTGTAAACATGGTTTTCTGTTCCGTAGGCTTGGTGATCGCTTTGAGTCTGGGAGGGTCAGAGGCTGAGGCCATTTTTATAAGAAGATTATTTTTACCATCCTGAAGCTCTGAGAATCTCAAAGAGGGCTTGCTGGGCTAAAGCTCTGGGGACTCTTTCTTCTTCAGATTCCACCAGCACATCCCCAGGAGTGGGTGTGGGGAGGAAGGGGACTGGTTTGAGTGATCAACTTTCTTTCTTATAATCTGTATTCCCTCTGTCTGTGTATGTCTGTGTGTGTATCCCATGTGTGTCTGTCTGTGTGGGACTATGCATGGATTCATTGATGTGGGTTTATGGGTCTTCTGTGTGGATGTGAATCTGTGTATATATGGTTGGCATGTGGGTGTGTGTTTGTGACTATGGCTGTCTACATATCTGTGGTTGCGTGTGTTTGATTGTGGCTCTGTGCTGTTACGGATGCATGCATGTCCACATCTGCCTGTTTCTATATCTCTGTATGGGTCTGGGTGTCTGTGTGCATGTCTGGTGTCTGTCTTTGTGTGTACATGTGCTCCTGGGTCTGCAGTGAACAGCGTCACGCTGGCCGTGAACCTGGTGGGCTGTCTCGCGTGGCTGATCGGAGGTGGGGGAGCCACCAACTTTGGCCTCGCCTTTCTCTGGCTCATCCTCTTCACACCCTGCTCCTATGTCTGCTGGTTTCGACCCATTTACAAGGCCTTCAAGTAAGTGGTCAGCGCTGACCCTCGCTCCTACCTTGTCTTTTGCCCATTTTCTCTGTCCCTTATCTCCAATTTTTCCATCCAGTTTTTTTTTTTTTTTGCTACCTCCAAACTCATTTTCCAATGGTCACCATTAGCTCAGACTACCAGATAGGGCTTGGATTTCCTGGTACCTTCAGACTGGAGTAAAAGGGCTGGAGGCAGTCTTTCTTTTTCCAAAGACCACCTGTTTTGATGCCCATCCTCGTACCAGTAGGGCTAGCTGATTTGGTGCCAAGAAAATATCTATCCATGTGCCAATGGAATCCTGCCACATACCACTGCAACAATTCATGTGCTAATGATGTCATCCAACCCTGTGCCAAAGGGACCACCCATGCATATATCAGTGAGTCTAGCTGTCATGGTACCAATAGTTATTCGTCCTAGTGCCAAATGGGGTTTTCAGCCTTCATGCCAATGGGACTGTTCATCCAAGTACTAACAAGACTAGCTCCATTCCAATAGAGTATCCATGTCAGTGCCAATAATAGGAGCATACATCTATGTGCCAATTGTTGTTGTTGTTAAGTGCCGTTGAGTTGGATCCGACCCATAGCGACCCTGTGTAGGGTTTCCGAGGAGCGACTGGTGAGCTTGAACCGCTGACCTTGCAGTTCAAATGGCTTTGCAGTCTGGAGCATTAACCCACAGTGCCATACCAGGACTCTATGTGCCAATTAGGACCTGACTATTATCATTATGCCAGTAGTGCCAATGGTGCTTTCTATCTCTGACTCTATGGGATGGAGACTATCCAGTCATATATTTTAGTAGAGCTTGCTGTCTTTCTGCCGCTGGGGCTGTCCATCCCTCTGATAGTCCTGCCACAATAGGGCCATCTATTTCTGTGCCAGTGGAACCATCCAGCCATATACTAGTGGGTGATCCGTTCATGAGGCGATTCCTCCTTTTGTAAAGTACACATAGGCCCAACACATGGAAATTTGTAAAGACCCATGGTAAAAGTGATTCCACCCTGGACCTTCTTTTAAGATCCTTAAGTATCACGTATCCATTCTACACTCACTTAAACTGGGAAGGGCTTGGGGACCTTGAAGAAAGGGTAGCCTGAACCCTCTGCCTAGGTGCTAGGAACCATCTTTTCTCTTGCAGGACTGACAGCTCCTTCAGCTTCATGGCATTCTTCTTCACCTTCATGGCCCAGCTGGTTATCAGCATCATCCAGGCTGTGGGGATCCCAGGCTGGGGTGTATGGTAAGAGGCAAGGAACTGGCCTGGGGCTGGCATAGGGGTATCCTTTGCTAAGCTGCCTAGTCTGTGACCGGTTATTGGAACAGTGACGGATTCATGCTAGTGCAGTGACACAGCCATAACATCAGAGTAGAATGAGAATCTAACAGTGATTGCAAGGGGGAGGGGGTGCCTAGCATTGTGGGAGAACCTGGAGGAAGGAAATCCTGTATCTGAGAAGCACATCTCCCAAGCCACGTGGGAAGTATCCTTCTTGTACCACTAACATGGGTATCAGTAAGATGGTCCCTCTATATCCAATAACATGACCCCTCCATGTCACTGGCATGTGGCAATGAGGTGGTCCCTTGCTTCATTGTGGTGGCTCCTGGGCAGTCCCACAGCTAACCTCTTCTTGCAGCGGCTGGATCGCCACCATCTCCTTCTTCGGAACGAACATTGGCTCAGCAGTGGTGATGCTCATTCCCACCATCATGTTCACAGTCATGGCTGTCTTTTCCTTCATTGCACTCAGCATGGTATGTGGCCCCCTCATGGGTAAGAGGGGGGCTTTGGGAAAGGACTGTGATCTATGACAACTCCTCCTCTAGCTATAGGAGGATCCCGCGGTCCTCCAAGGGACTCCCTCTGGAAATACCTTGTGGATTTTTCCTAGTGCATCGGTGGGGAGGGAAGACCACTATATGATGACTTGTCCTTGGACCCATCTTTTCCCTGATGGGCTTCCAATTCCCTTTGATTAACCCTTGCTTATACTCTTCCTCCTGCAGGTTCATAAATTCTACCGAGGCAGTGGAGGTAGTTTCAGCAAAGCCCAGGAGGAGTGGACCACAGGGGCCTGGAAGAATCCACACGTGCAGCAGGCAGCCCAGAATGCAGCTATGGGGGCGGCCCAGGGTGCCATGAATCAGCCGCAGACCCAGTATTCTGCTACCCCCAACTATACATATTCCAATGAGATGTGAGCCAGCAGATCCTGCTGGGAGGCAGGGCTGGGGCCAGTGGGATAGGGGGCTCAACCACATTGTCTTTTGTGGTGACCAAGCAGGGTTCCCCCTTCCCTTTTCTCCTTGTCCCCCACTTTGTACAGAGAATCAGAGTTATATATATATGTATATATATATATGTACATGTCTACCCCTCCTCCCCATTTTGGGTTCTGCTTTCATACGCTGAGAGCTGTGGGCTGCACGGGGAGCTGTCCCACGCGGCGAAAGCTGTGTCCGTATCTCCTTGTGAAATCATGTGCAGTGGAGGTCTCTGTTGTTGTGGTGCTAGATGTGTGTTTAGAATTAAACCAGCCCCTCACCCTCCACCAGGTTGCTCCCCTCTGACCCTGGCCCAAGGACTGCTCCGGGTGGGGAAAGTCATGCAGAGAGCCTCACTCCCTTCCCCAGGGTTGTGAGCTGAAACTGTTTCCACTTTGGGTCCTGCTGGAAAGCAACAGTATTTAGCATTCATGTTGGTGGTAGGTGGGAGGGTGGGGACTGGCAGGGGGTCTTCCCTTGCTCCTTTTGATCCATTTGGGTTGGGCCTCCCTCCTTTACCTCCTCTTCCCCTCTCCAATGGCTGTCCAATTCCCTGTGGTATCTCTCCTTGCCCAGGGTCTCTCTTTTCCCCAGGTGACTTTTCTTTGTCTTCCCCAAGACTGAGTATCCCTCACTGTATCTGCTTCCCAAATTGAGCCCATTACCAGATCAAGGAAGCTGACAGGAGCTGAACCTTAGCTCTGGTGTGGGAGGAGCACACAGCTACAGAGGAGAGCCCACCTGTTACGTAACTCCCAGGGAATGGGAATATAGCCTCAGTCTCCTTGACTTTGAGAGCTTGGCCTGCATAGGTAGGCTCCTATTTTTCCTGCCCCGTCTTATTCTCCTTCCTTTCCCAGAACCTTCTTGAGCCCTCTGCCTATGCTCCCTATCACCCTGGATGCTATGTCCTGATCTCCCTTTCCTGCCCGACTGCAAGCCAGGTGGTATAGCCATCCATGAGGATACATTCCACTGCCTTCCCTGAGGACTTGGTTCACATCCTGGCAGTTGTTAGAAATAAAGGTGCAGCTGGAACAGAAGCCATGCAATTAATTATTGGTCCCTGGGTGAGGTCTGGCTGGCCTAAGGCCACTGGTCAGGTTTTAGGGATCTCTGAGTGACCACTGGATTCCTGGGAGCAGTGTCTGTCCTGCTTGGGTCTAGGTCAGAGGAGAAGGCAGGCAGACCCCAGTGAGGGAACCATTTGCCTCCCCTATCCCAGCTTGTTGTTGGTTGCAGGGCAGTTCTCAGCACTTGAATTCAGGTCCCAGGAAAAGGTATAGGCCTAATCCTAGCTGAATGGGATTTCAGCATAGACAAGACAAGGGAGAGGCTTTTTATTTTGTTTTTATAAAATCAAGATAATTTGTTCTCATCTGTCTACTGAACTTCATACTTGGCCCTTTCTCACCTTGTCAGAATCTGCTTCTCCTTACAGGAGGGCCCTTCTGACCCATGGAGCTATTCTGTTTAAAACAGTATTAAATGATTGCTGGGAGAGGCCTCGGCTTTGTCTGAGACCTGGAGGGAGGTGGGTTCTCATGAAAATTGACTACTTTGCACTGCCCACTTGTAACAGAAGCCCACTGGGGATATCTGGTCTGAAAAACCAAACCCTGCTTGGCCACTTTGGACTGGCTCCAGCTTGGAACCGAACACCTAGGCTTCCAGGTGTCACCCTGACCTTTGAGTTCCAAATACTTCTATAACCTATAAAGGGAACCAGGTGTCCCTGGTGGCCCCTCGGGCTTGGTGACAAAGTGTGTGATTGGATTTTTCCATTCACACTTTTTTTCTGGTGAGCAGTTGTCATAGCTCCTGGTACCAGAAAAGGGGGCCTTAGGTCCCGGTCCTTTCTCCCTTTCTCTTTTGCCACCCCAAACCTCTAACTCTCTTTCCCCTGTCTCTCTATTGACTTCAGGAGACCTGTGGTCCAGCTGCCTGCCTGGGCATCTGTGACCTGCTCAGTGGTACCTCCAGTTGATTTCCTCTCCTACCTGCCTCTCCTCTTTCCTTGGCTCAAGCCTGTATGGCCATGGCCTGGCTCTGCCCTAGGGAAGGCCTATTGTTACCTGTGTGTGGCCCAGCTTACCCAGGCCTGGGTGCTGCATCTCCAGGCAACTATGCATTTTTCCTGAGGAAGGGACTAGTATGAGAAATGAGGGTTGGCCACAGTTTCATGTCTGCTGGATGGCCTGGCATGGGGGTGGGGAGGGATAGGCCAGTTCTGGGGATCCTGAAGTCTGTGCCCATTGCCCCTCTTGTTTCTGGAAGACAGACCACGCCCTAGCTGGCAACTGACCTGCCTGAGCCAGTGTGTCTGTTGTGGTAACTGAGTGAACCTTAATAAAGGGGAACATTTGACCCTGTGTGTCCTGCCGTGTCATGTGTTTTCATCTGAGTCTGTGTGGAGCCTCACTGTGGCATGTGCAGCATGAATATACTGAGGGTCATATGGGTCTGCAGCCTGTCATTCCCTGTGGCCAAAGGCACACTCAACTGTATGATTTTTTTTTTCTCCAAGGGGGCTTTGTTGTTGTTGTTGCCAGGTGCCAT